GCTCCCCTGTTCTTCCAGCCGAGGGATGGCCAGCCTGTGTCCACCTACTTAGTGAGAAACTGTGGGGGAGAGCCTCTGGGGAGCAGGTGGATGTGAGGTCTACAGTGCCCCCCTGCTGATAGAAAACACAGCAGATAGGTGGCAGGCAAATGTGTTTGAGCAGAAACATTCAGGGATTAGGATCTCATAGAGCTTTAGTGCTCCCCAAACAAAAGCTGTGGAGATGCTGGGTGGTCCGAGCAGTGACTGTGCTTAGCCTTAAACCTCAAGGTTGTTCATATCCACCCAGTTGTGCTGAGGAAGATAGGCCTGGCGATCCGCTTCTGTGAAGATCGTTATTGTGTGCTTTGGAGTTGGCTTCAACTCAGTGACCCTGTATAGGGTTTCTGAGAGCAACTAGTGGGTTTGAACTGCTGACCTTGAGGTTGCTAGTTCAGTGCTTGTCCTACAGCACCACACCAGGACTCTGTAAAGATTACAGCCAAGAAAACTCTACAGAACAGCTCTAGTCTGCAACGCATGGGGTCACTTGCTGAGCTGACAATGAGTTTGGTTAAAAAATTTTTTTTAAGCTTGTTGCTGTTATGTGCCGTCGAGTCGGTTCCGACCCATAGCGACCCTGTACAGGGTTTCCGAGGCTGTAAATCTTTACAGGAGCAGAAAGCCTCATCTTTCTCCTGTGGAACAGCTGGTAGTTTCAAACTCCTGACCTTGCGGTTCGCAGCCTGATTCGTAACCACTACGCTACCAGCTTGGGTGACACAAAAAGCTAATGCACTTGGCTGCTAACCAAACATTAAAGGTTCCAGTGCTCTCAAAGGTTGTGAGAATGTCCTTGGAAGGTTCTATGCTCTGGACCTGCTAGAATCTCTGTGTTGTCTCTTCCACTCATCTGAGCAAAGATCTGGGTCTATAAAACAGTGTGAACACACTACAAAACAGTGTGAACACACTACAAAACAGCGTGAACACACTATAAAACAGTGTGGTGCCTCAGAAGGAAAGCCTGGCAACCTGCATCCCCCAAAGCAGCCATTAAAACTCTACAGAGCACAGTCTGACTCTGACACACAGGAAAATACCATGAGTCAGAGATGCTGCAATGACAACAGTTGTTGTTTTGAGCTTTTTACTGTGGTTTGGGTGAACGTTTAGAGAGCAAATGAATTTTCCATTCAACAACTCAGACACATTTTGTTTCGTGATGTGGCTTGAAATCCCCACAGTGTAACTAACAGTATTCGACCCACTTTCACCTTGTGTTTCCAGTTTCTACTCCTCCTTTCCTGCCTGCTGAAATTTATCCCTGAGCAAATGCTGTCCTTTTGATTTCATAAGGCTGATTGTTCAAAGGGGTGAGTACCTCCCTGGTCTAATTGTTCACCTTATAAGTTTATCTATTGTTTGCGTGAAAGTTGTTCCCCAGGGATGGGTTAAAGTCCAGGCTTGAAGGATGTATTAGAGCCACAGTCTCGGAGGTTCCACCAGCCTCTATCAGACCAGGAAGTCTGGTTTTTTTTAAAAATGATTTTGAGTTTTGTTCCACATTTTTCTTTTACTCCGTTCAGGGCTTCCTATTGTGATCCCAGTCAGAGCAGTGGGGAATGGTACCCAGGTACCCTCTAGTTCTGGTCTCAAGCTGGGATTCACATGGTGCATTGGTCCTGTGGATCAATTGTTTTCCCTGAGTCTTTGGCTTTCTTCAGTCTCCTTGCTCTGGATGGGGCGGGGAACTGGTCTTTCCCTCCACAGCTGTACCGGGTGCTGACCTCCAAGACCTTTTATTCCCAGAGCCCGCCTTCAGCTGGAAATAGGACCATCCTGATTTGAGACGTCTGGTTTTTACATCCTGATGCTCCCTGGGTCTCTATGCTCACCTCCCTGGGAATAGTCTCACATGGTCACTTGTAATAGGAGATGGAGAAATCAAGACTCAAAATGTGCTCCTTTATGGAGGAGGAAGACAAAGGCCCAGCTGGGTATGTCCATAAATCATCATGAAAGAGGACACTTTGGAGGCTGGCTTTTGAGAGTGGTGCCAGCCTCAGTTTCCCCCCAGCCCTAAGTCACCTCAATGAAGAGATGGGCAGGGTGTGTGTGGAAGAGTGTAAACTTGAAGTCTGGTTTTCCCAGGGCCCTTGAAAGCTTTTGTTCTTGGTGGGGGCGTGGGCAGCTGTAATTTACACTCCTGTGATTCACATAGTACCGGCTTGGCCAAGCCTGCTGGAGTCTCCATAAATGTGGTGAAGCCCAAAACACTCCCGACAAACTGACTCTGAATCACAACCACCTTACAGGGCAGAGGTCAGTTCCGTAGAATTTCTGAGACTGTCAATCTCTATGGAGCAGACATAATTCATCTTTCTTGCTTAGAGCATAGGGTGGGTTTGAACCATAGACCTTGTGGTTAGCAACCCAACGCTTAATTCACTGATGTGAGAGTGCTGATAAAACACAGGTCTCTGGAATTGTCAGAACGCGTTTCTCCATCAGAGCTGGTTTTTTCCTGGGGTGGTGTTGGTGTTGGGGGGGTTGTTTCAGAGACTTGTTTTCTGCTGCCATTGAATTAGCCTCCAACTCACGATGACCGATGACCGCATGCACAACAGAATGAAATACTGCCTGGTCCCGCGCTAGCCTTGCCAAAGTTGTGGATCAAACTGTGCTGATCCTTACGGTTTTTTTCTTTTTGTGTGCATGTTTATTACTTTTCTCAATCTGTAGGGTTTTCATTGACTGATTTTGGAAGTAGTTAACCAGACCTTTTCATGTTTTCTGTGTTTGTCTGGAAGCTCTGCTGAAATCTGTTCAGATCACATCAACACACAATCCTCCACCGACACAGGTGGGTGGAGGCTGCACAGGAGGTACCTCGGCTGGGGATTGAACCCAGGTCTCTCGTGTGGAAGCTGATAGTACTATGAATGAACCACCCCCACCCCCATGCTGGGGGCCAATGTCCAGCTGTAGACCCGGTGGGGGGGGGGGTCCTCCCTCTGCTCTGATAGTTTCCTTCCCAGACTTCGGCCGACCCTGGGAACACTGTACAGCACATTCATGGAGGTTCACATCCATGTAAAGGTGATACCCTGGTCACTGTCCTAATCAGCTCTGGGCCTCTCTCCTTACCACAGGCCTAAGTGTCCCCTTACATGTGCGACCCGTAACCTGACTGTAAGTCAGGAAAACACCTTTGACACACAGGCAGACGGCACCGACATTCTTTACGTCAGTCCTTGCCGATTACTCCCGTTCCTCCTACACCCTCCCATCTACACCAGGAGACCCCCGGCAGACCTGAACTCCCACCAGAAGGCCTATACACACACACTGCTCCCTCTGAATTGTTCATTGGTGTAAGCCCAGAGGGACAAAGGCTGTATCCCTTTCTGCTTCCTGTGGTTTCCCCTCCCCGTTATGGGGGGGTGGGTATACAGCAGGCACTAAATAAATACTAGTTGAAGCAGTGATTCGAATAGTGTCAAAATGTGACCTTATTTGGAAACAGAGCCTTTGAAGATAAAATTAATGTTACAATTTAAACTCACTATCCACTCCTTGGAAACCCTATACAGAGTTGTTATGAGTCAGAACTGACTCGACAACACTTAACAATATTGGGTTAGTTCTTAGGTGTGGTCGAGCTGATCTCTACTTTAGCCACCCCATGTGACAGAGCGGAACTGGTGGCAGCCTAGGGCTCTGAGTCTGACCCTCTCGGATGGACCTAAGTTGCCAGGCAGGTGGGCCAGAGAGTTCACGCCTGGCTGTAGACAGTGACTGGCAGCTTCTGACTGTCATTGCGTGAGGACACAGAACTGGGGTTCTGGGCCAGTCCCTGGGGGAATGCACTTCAAGAACAGCTAAGGTTTGGGGAACCTTCAGGCTCAGGGTGTCTCTAGGCCTCTAATTCCCATGGCCTACCCCCAACATTTTCAGAACTCATTGTAGAAGGGTCCTTTCTGGAAGCCCTCTGTGAGCTCCCCACGAGGAGTCCTGCTTCTTGGCTCTGGTGTATCTCTGCTCTGGGCCAGTCCCTCTCCTGTCCCACCGAGTACTTGGGGGCACGCTGGGGCTCCAGCATCTGGCACCGTGGGAGCCCAGAGCACAGCTCAATTCACAACCACCCGGGTCACAGAATCCTGGGTCAGAGGAGGGAATGACTTTTTCACTGCAGGTGTGTGCCACAATGATTTACACTATGCTACCAGAGATCTTAGGAGCTCTGGTAGCGTAGTGGTTATGAATCAGGCTACGAACCTTAAGGTCAGCAGTTTAAAACCACCAGCTGGTCCGTAGGAGAAAGATGAGACTTTCTATTTCGTAAAGATGTACAGCCTCGGAAACACTATACAGGGTCACTATGAGTCAGAACCGACTCCACGGCATACCACCACCACCACCATAACTACCTGTGGTGCTGTGGCACTGTAGGATAAGCACTGGACTGCAAGGTTGGTTTGAATTACAAGGTGGGCGGTTCAAACCCACTAGCCGCTCCTCAGAAATCCTATACAGAGTCGCTAAGAGTCAGAACTGACTCGATAACACTTCACAACAACAGCTGCCTAAATTCTGCATCAGGTACAGAGTAGCACTGAGGGAGACTTCCTGGAGGAGGCATGGCTTCCTGTCGGTATGGGCTGAACAAGCCACATCAGCTCTCTCTGGTCCTTAGCATGTTGACCTGTAAAATGGGCAAACCAACCCTGCAGGGACGGGTGCTAACATCGCAGCTCCTCAGAAAGATGGCTGTATCCCTGCCATGTTCTAAACCAGCTGTGCTTCCTAAGACAACAGATCCTGGCCCCAGGAAGGGGGTCCCCTTTCACAGAGCAAAGCCCCCCTCTCCAGGCTCTGCCCAGCACCACCCAGACCCCAATAACGTGCAGATAAAATGGGGGCCATCCCCACTCATCCCCGAACCTCTGCCTGGGAACCATCGGCTCACGGCGAAGTGAAAGGAGGAGAGGAAAAAAGGGCTTAGAGGCACGGCTCACCCCAGAGGGCCATGAAGACGGAGAAGAAGACGGTGGCCGGATTGTCGAAGAGGTGGCTGGCCCGGGCGGTGGGGCAGGCTGAGCTCATCTTCCAGTAGCTGCAGGTCTTATCGCATAAGGGACACATGGTGATATTGTATCTCTGGTCGCACATCTCCATGCTGGAAGAGGGGCAGGCACACACAGTGAGTCCCCGCCGGCGCCTTTTGCGTGCCACCTGGGGTTGGTGCAGCCCCTCAATCCCTGCCACCAATGGATGCAACAGCCAGTGTGCATGACCCACTCTCCACCCAGGGCCACCTCGGGGCATATGAGCCACATGGTGACACAGACCCACACTTCATCTCGTGATCAGCTGTCACAGTCTGGAAACCCGTAACAATTTTGAACAAGGGTCCTGAGTTTTCACCTGGCACTGCTCCCAGAAGCCATCCCAGAAGCCACTTGTTTGGTGATGGAAGACGGGCACGTGGCTGCTAACTTTGGGGGGCAGGAGACACCTGGGCAGCGGCTTCCACAACTTCTGATAGAACCACTGGGCACTATGGATTGTCCCCTAAATAAACACTGAAGTCCTGCGGTGGCTCTAGGGTACACACTGGACCACTAACCACCGGTCAGCAGTTCACACCTATCAGACACTCCTCAGAAACCCAACAGGGTCGCTACAAGTCAGAACTGACTCGACGGCACTTAACAGCAACTGGTTACTTAAGAAGTCCTGGTGTGGCACTGTAGGATAAGCACTGGGCTGCTAACAGCAAGGCTGGCGGTTCAAACCCACCAGACACTCCTCAGAAATCCTATACTGGGTTGCTCAACAATACTTAACAACCACAACAACAAATAAGCACTGGGCTGTGAATCACAAGGCTGGTAGTTCAAGTCCATCAGCGACTTCATGGGGAGAAAGATGAAGCTTTCTGTTCCCACAAAGATTTATAGTCTCAGAAGCATATACGGAGGCCGAGTGCTGAGGACCAGCAGTTAGAGGGTCCTCAGGAAGAAGGTTGTACACAGAATCATGCCTGGCCCATGGCTGTGGGTTTAATGAATGTCAGCCGAAAGGCACTAGTGGCCTCTCCTGTGGGCACCACTGCCTGGGCATTCCAGAGTAGTTACCTGCTTTCAGTTAAAGACAGTCGACACTTATAAACACAGCTGTGTGCAGCAGGCACTGTGTGAGGCTCTGGAGATTAGAGAGCTAAGGGAGTCATGCACCTAGCTTCGCCTGGAGGAGACGGGCTTGGGGTTGAGCTGGGGGTTGGGGAGGGTGATTTGAACCTCAGCTTCATTGACTGATATCTGTGTAGCGTTAGGTCTCAGCGTTCCCTTCTGTAGAATGGACTGTCTAAGGGTTAGACAAGCAAGTGTGTGTGAAGCCCTTGGGCATGTGCCTGGACCCTTGGCCATGATTATTTCCCACAGATAACCAAGATCTTCATAAAGGTGGGTATCAAAAGGGACCTCACTGGGTCTTAATCAGCCACATGGCTTTCTTCTCTCTGAGGGCCTGCCTTGGAGGAGAGAGGAGGACAATATGTGAAGGACCGCTGCCCATGACTGAGCCCCTATCCGGGGCGCCTAGCTGAAGGAAGGTTTTCCACCCACGATTGTGGGTGGGGAGTCTGGAGCCCTGAACGATGGGCTTGGGTCCAGGGAGGACTGGGGGCCCTGGGCGTGCCCGAGCCCTCATCGCTGCCAACTGGCCAGGGCTAATGCTGGTACAAAGCTCTCCACCTCTCGCCTTAACACCTCGAGCCAAAATAAAGACAAGAAAGGGGAGTGGATGGGAGGGGTGGGCGAGGCAGGGTGGCACCCTTCCGGGGCGCTGGCTTCCCGACAGTCTTTAACATAGTCTCACTCCATGGGGCACACCCTGCTCGCTCAGTCAAAGGACACAAGGTGGGGCAGAGACAGGTGGAGTAGGGCTTCAACTGCCTGTGTTGAACCACCATGGGCAGCTGAATCCCCAGAGGGTATGTCTGCATTTCTGGACAGGTGACAAGACGCCCAGTGCTGGCAGGTCCACAACGACCTCAGTGCCCTTTCTGGGGACGTCTATACTCAGGGCAGATCAAGCTACTAAGACAGGAGAAAGGCAGACAGAAGCCATCCAGGATCCTGGGCAGTTCCTACCTCTCCCTCATCAGTCCCTCTTCTAGACAAAACCTGGAAGCTTCAAGTGATGTAAATGGTGAAGTGCTTCACAGCTAGCCCAAAGGTTGGTGGTTCAAATCCACCCAGGGGTAGGTGCCTTGGAACAAAGTCCTGGCTATCTGCTTTTGGGAGGTCACAGCCATTGAAACCCCTAAGGAATAGTCCTACTCTGCACTCCCAGGGACATCACGGGTCAGAATCCCCTCAAGAGGAGCTCATAACAAACAGCAGGACAGACAAAATCAGAACTAAGATCCCCATCAAGTTCAGATTGCAGCAATCTTTACCACAGTCCAGCCCATGCTATGGAACGACCACACGTGGTATGTGCAGACAGAGGGACGAGCTTTCTCCTGCCTGTGACCAAAATGAGGTCACTGAGGAGATAAGCCAGATTCTGTTTTGACTCTGGGTGGGTGAAATAGTTTAAGCATTATTCGCGTATGAAAACAATGTAAGTACAAATGTTCTGGATGTGGCCTCTAGGGCCTGTTGTCCTGTAAGGAGCCGAATTTGTCAGCAGGTGGGAGATCCCTGGTGTGATGCTGTCCGATAAGGCTAGACTGCAATGTCGGTTTGAACCACAAGGTTGGCGGTTCAAATCCACCAGCTGCTCCTCGGAAAATCTGTACAGGGTTGCTATGATTTGAAACCAATTCTATGGCACTTAATGACGACAAAGTATTCCTGGGCTCTTTGGAAATGGCTGGATGTAGGAATACGTTTTCCAAGGCACAGCTTTAAGCTTTGGAGATGCTAAGAACAACCTTGAGAAACAGAATGGCGTAGCATGATGCTTTAGAGTTTAACTAGAGACTACAGGCTTCTGGAAGGGGGAGGTAAGCAGTTTCCACTTACTTCTACACCCTTGCATTCTCTGATTTGTAGAAGGGAGATTTGGTCAACATCATCTTGCCATTAACAAAATATGTACCACCGTCAGAGGTTGGGGCTTGATAGCTTTAAACACACAGCACAATTCTCTTTGGGTTAATAATATTGGTGGATGGAGGAATCAATTGCAAAAAGATTTAAGACTGTGATGCCCCCGGGGGATGCAACAGATGAAGGAGCTGAGCTTTGGACTGGAAGGCTGGAGGTTTGGGTCCAACCAGAAGCACCGTGGAAGAACGGTCTGGCAATCTCCCTTTGAGAAAGTAGCCACTGGAGCACAGTTGTACTCTGACACACACGGGCCCACTAGGAGTCTGGGGTGGCAGGACTGGCATGCATACTGAGGAGGCTAGAGATCTCAAAGTGCCCCCATCTGACTCGTAGCCTTCAGGCCATTTTGGGGAAGAAGGCAGGGAGGGGTGTATTCAGCCTTTTTCTGAGAGTGCTCCTCACGGGATGTCCATAGAAGGAACATGGGCGCCACATTCAAAGATCAGGGTATGTATATTTCAGGAGTTGCTGCTGCGTGCGGTCTAGTTGGTTCCATCTCATAGTGTGTCCCCGTAGGGTTTCCAAGCCTGTAAATCTTTACTGGAGTAGGAAGCCTCATTTTTCTTTCATGGAGCAGCTGGTGGATTTGAACTGTTGACTTGGCAGTTAATAGCCCAACGTACAGCCCGCTATGCTACCAGAGCTCTTGATCTAGTATCCCCAAATCGGTGCCTTTCAGGTGACTCCGATTCACATTGACCTGCATGTGTCCGAGTACAACTGTGCTCCACGGGGTAGTCTATGGTTGGTGTTTTTGTTTTTTTTCCCAGAAGTATATCTTCAGGCCTTTCTTCCAAGGAGCCTCTAGACAGACTCAAACTTCCCACCTTCCTCTTATGACAGCAATCCTGTTGTTGTGATGTGCCGTGGAGTTGGTGGTTCCGACTCATAGCGACCCTGCACAGGGTTTCTGAGGCTGTAAATCTTTACGGGAGCAGAAAGCCTCATCTTTCTCCTGTGGAACGGCTGGTAGTTTTGAACTGCTGACCCTGAGCTTCGCAGTCCGATTCGTAACCACTACGCTGCCAGACCATTCCTGTAGCTGCTCCCAAAGCCCCCAAATAAGGGCAGCATGCATGAAGGCCCAGCGTGGGCCAAGGGTCATACGCAGCTGGCACTGAGGGTTCTGAAAACTCTCTCATTCCAGTTCCCAACCACACAGCTAAGCTACACAGTTTCTGGTCACACAGTGACGAAAATTAAAAGGGAGGAAAAACATAAAAAAAAAAACACAAAAAAACCAATGGGCACATCTTTATTTTCTGTCTTTGGCAAATAGAACTTACTCCTTGGACAACCATACCCAAGAAGGCCAACCCCTGGTCCATGTGCCTTGTGTCCTGTCAGCTCCAGCTCAGGTGTGGGGTGGGGTGGGGTGGGGCTGAGCAAGTGCAAAAGCATCGGGATGAGATGCCGGAATCCCAAGAAAATCTTGTAGCTGGGATGGCTGGCAGTGGCTCTTTAACAGGAAGTGGGGGTGCTTTGCTGGGGGAGACTGTAGAGGCGCTGCCCACCTACCTGGGGATGTTCTCATCAACGGTAGCACAGCCATAAAGGAAGACAATGATGCCAACGACCGAGGCAGGGATAAGCATCTGGGTGTATACGCCCAGCCAGGCGAAGTACAGGCCGATCTTCTCCCCGAAGTACTTCCTGTACCAAGCACACCATCTTATTTCACCGAGTCCGTACCAGCATGGGAAACACATGCATCTCCCTCCCCTCCCCAGCAGGGGACAATGCAAAGGAGGGAAACTGATTGGTCCACTTGTCCACGAAGCAGAGATGGTGGACTCTGAGCCAACCCATCATGTCTGGGGTTTCCTTTGCTTTCCCTAAGCCCACTCCCTTCTTGCCTGTGTCTGACAAGGGAGGAATATTTCCATGTGTGCTGGCTCATGTGGGCGTGGGTGTGTTCTCCCTGGGGACATCATTCCACATCTTACTGAGTCTAAAACCTGGGAGGGACTTGGGCATGGATGTGCTGAGAAAACCAGTCATACCTCGTATGAAGTCTGCATGACCCCATTTACCACGTGCCCCCTAACCTGGCTCTTCCCCCCTTTGCCACCCCAGGGGGACAGAGGTCCTCTGGAGAGAAGACACCCGCCTGGAAAAGCAAGTCCCACATGTTTCAAGGAGCTCTTTTTTTCCCTTTAACAGTCAAGGCATGAAGACCATACCAGCCTCCCAGCTGGATCAAAATAGATGGTGGATTCAGGAGAAGAGATGGTGAATTTGATGGAAAAGAGCCCAGCTCGCATTACATTTGAATAAATTGCACAAACTCTAGCCTAGATTCCTAGCCCTGCAGGGAGCCCCAGCATATAAGCTCTTACTACCTCCTTCAAGTTTGAACAGGCCCCAGGGTAGAGTTGAAACACACAAGGACACATTCATTTGACTGAAACACACTTATTTCCCACAACTTTTGCCTGGAACCAGCATGGTCCTTCTTACCTGACAAGGTCAATGGGCTGGTACTTATAGAAGACGCCATAACTTGCCCACTCTTCATACAGGAGCTGGGGGAGAGAAAGTGGTCAGGGATAGGGTGAGAATATAGTATTCTGTGTTTGTACCCCTGAAGATAGAGCTTCTGGCAGATGCTGACGAATGCCTGCCATCCACCCATCCACTCATCCCCCTATCCATCTGTGGTGTAGTGAAGTATCTAATGTCTCTTCTAGCCCTAGTCTGTAACTCCCACCAAACAACGTTCTGCTCTGCTGGGTCTCGGTAAGCAAGGGTGGGAGAAGATACTGATAGGAGGGCATAAGTCAGTTATGGATGTTAGCAGAGTTCATTGTAAAACCTTGAAACTCTAACATGGGTATGAAATGAACCTTCTCAGAAGCAGGAGAGGAGCTCTCACTATCATCAGAGAGAAAGAGCACCCCAAGATCCCTGCACATTGACCCTCCTCAGCCAGGGACAGAAATCTGTGACACTGGAGGAGGGGCAGAGGAGCAGCACCAGAACCAACAGCCAGACAGAGCAGGGGGCTTCCAGCCCATGGAACGAGTAAAGCTGAGTGACCTTAGGCAGGAAGCTCCAGGCATTTAAGTGGAAAGGGGGAGCTCTAGCCGAGTACCTTCTGGCTGAGGCTAATGGTGGAGGGGTGTGTCCTGTGGGCATTATCAGCAGCTGACAGAAACAACTGTGCCTGGAGCATTTTCTGAATCTATATCATAACCTCTTAACTTCCCTAAAAACCCCAGAATGATTGAGTATTGTCTCCGAGTTCTGTGTGGCCATTGCAATAGCTTACTGAGCCCAGATGAGAAGGAAAGACTATCATGGGAGGGATGGTTAGTGCCATATTTTTGCACCATCCATCCAAACAATCATCCATCCATCCATCCGCACATCTATCCATACAAACATCCATCCATCCACACATCTATCATACAAACATCCATCCATCCACACATCTATCATACAAACATCCATCCATCCACACATCTATCCATACGAACATCCATCTATCCATCCACCCATCCATCCTCACATCTATCTATCCACCCATCCATCTATCATCCATTCATGCACACATCTATATAGCCATCCCTCCAACACTGATTGGATGTCAGCCATCTTCCAGGTTCTATGCTGGATACTTGGTACCACAGACCTTGAGTGTGTGGTACTCCTATTCAGTGGGGAAAAAGTACACTAAGGAACAGGCTAAATGAATCATCATCCAATTCCAGCCCCTAAAGAATCCAGGGTGAGATCAACACAAGAAACAGGAGCTGAACTGATGCTAGAGACATGAGTGTACCCCAGCAAGCATCAGCCTCCATTTTTATGTGAAGATGGGGAAGACACTTCTGACATTAAGGAATCCCAACTCTTTGTGATTTCACTTGGAGTTGTTCTAAAATGGAGGATCTCTAAAAACCAGCTAGGGCTCTCAGCCCTCCCTGTCCCATACCAAACCATTTGCTACTATGAAGGGAAGGAATCACTAGAATTCTAAGCAGAGAAACACCAATGATAAAATCTTGACAAGCCTCATGGGGTGCAGAGACAGCACCTCATCTGTCTCCCGAATTGGCTGATTATAACCTTTTGAGAAACAAATAAAACCCACACACACCCTATGATCCCTCAGGCTTTGGGTAGGGATGGTTATATGCTTATTTGATGGATCTGAAGGTGGAAACCTTGTATGAACATGTAGAGGATGTGTAAGGAAAATGCAAAGCTAGGATTGTCGGTTAAACGGAAAAATCCCACGCATGTGGGTAATGAATGGTTTGACAAACCTGAACTCAAAACCCAGGCTCCCACATGCACCTCCAAGCTAAAAGGGAAGGTGCTGATGCTCCAGGCTTATCCCGAAAACCCCCGCCCTGGGTTCAAGCAGCATCTTGTCTCAAGACACCGAGCAACTGCCTGTGAAGAGCTAGGGGTGCGGTGAGGAAGCCAGGCTGCCCATCTGCTCAGCTCAGAGCCTGTTTGCCCCAACCAAATCCCTAAAACCAAACCTGTTATGGTTGAGTCAGACTCTACCTCATGGTGACCCCCACGTTTGACAGATGAAGACCTACGTTCATAGGGCTTTCTCAACTGTCATTGTTACAGAAGCAGTTTGCCAGGCCTTTCTTCTGCAGCACTGCTGGGTGGGTTCAAACCTCACAATCTTCCAGTTAGTAGCTAAGCACAAATTCTTTGTGCCACCCTACTTCATCAACTGAGGGTCCGAGGATGAGCTGTGGGGTGGGGCGGGATCATGCCAGTAGCTGACAGTACCTGGTATGTTTGAGCCTCTCTGTTTGGGGTACCATCTGGGACTGGTGCCCTGTAGATGCCCCGATGGATAACTGGGAGGTGAAGTTTTCCCAGAGGCACTGGACACTGTCTCATCTAAGTGTGCAGAAAGACACCTTCTTGTCTGGGGCCAGTTTCTGTAACAGACACTGTGGCAGCCAGTGGCCTCGGGGCACAGCAAGGAAAATGCTGGACAGAGGGCTCATGACTTGGTTAAGGCCAGGCTGCTGGTTGGAGATGTGACTGGACTCTTAGAGACCGTGCAGCTACCAGGAACAGACAAGGAGCTGGAAGGTGGGAATCTCCTCCCGCTGCAATAGGTGGGCTCCTAGGAAGACTCCTCGGATTCTGACCCAAGGGGGACAGTCCTGGATGGACATTTACCCTCTGATCCCTAGTGGGTGGTCCTGCAGAGACCACCACAATGGGCTTGGTACATGGAAGGTTCTCCACAGGGGAACTCTTGGAGGGGAGCTGAAGGAAAAGTACAGTGTTGGGGGCTGTGAGTATCAGCGCTCCTGGTTTCCAGACATCAGAGTAAAGGCCCAGGTTTGCACTGCCATAGAACATCTGAGCTGGCAAGTCAAGCTAGGCCACAGAGCCTCAGTGCTTAGGCCAAGCTGCCGTCACCAACTGCATGGCCACTTCCAGCCCTTCACAGAATCCAAACTGCAAGGTACACAGGGGAATAGACTGAGGAGCAACAAAGAGAGACAGAGACAGAGATGGAGGGAGAGACAGGAAGAATCAGAATATATATATGGAGAGAGATGTAGCGAATGAGTGAGAGACACAGAGACAGACTCAGAGAGACAGACACAGGAGGACTGAGAGACACAGAGGAGGATGAGAGGAGAGAGTTAGAATGAGAAACAGGGAGACAGAGAGAAGACTGAGGAAAGCAAAGACAGAAACCAAGAGAAATGTGCGTGTGTGTGAGAGATAGAGGGAATGAGGGGGGAAGAGACATAGAGGAGAGAGGATGAGAAACAGAAAGATAGACAGAGCGAGTGCACACAGCTCTGCACCAGGGGAGGAGGGACACACAGTGGGGGGAAGAGATGACTCCACAGTGACCCTGATCCTGTCTGGGGCCTGCTCAGCTCGGGATGGGCTCTGAACACACCCTCCCAAACTACACAACCCGATTCCTCTTGGTGGAATCTTCTTCCCGCCAAGAAATGAGCACCCATTGCCTTAATTGGGTGGCCAAGTGGGACTTCTCCACCAGGATCTCTGGGGTCCAGATCATCACACCAACTCTCTAGCCAGAACCTCCCACCTGGGCATGTGGTCCCTGAGTCTTCTCACCTCCTCCCCGGTCCTATGTGTGTCCCCGGTTGGACACCATTCTTAAAGACCACAATTACCCAACCTTGTCAGTCTCTGCAACCCCCCAAGAATGGAGGCTCCAGGGGCCAGATGTGTCCAGCGCACCTCAGCCCCAGAACCTCCAACAGGCCTGGGGCAGATGAAGGGTTTTCAGTAAATAATTGTTGAATTAATGAATCGATGAGTGAACGAATGAATTAACCTCCCAGCCCAATACAGAGTTGCAACAGGCTGCCTTCCACACCTGGAGTAAATCCTCCACAGTCCAGTGAGCCCTGAACTGAGGGTCTCAGCATCCCCCTGCAACAGAGTATCCTCTGGAAGTCCTGACATTCCTCAGTGAGACCTTGTCCAACCAAGGCTCCATTCTGTGCAGCTCAGAGCTCACCCACAGACCCCGAGGATTTGTGGCCCAGGCCCCAGTGCTTGGATTCAACAACCAGCCAGTGGTTCTGACTGAGCCCAGCCTTGGCCAGGTTTGCTTCCCACACTCACATTCCTGCCTGTCCCCTGATTCTCTGGCTCTGCACAGGAACATGTCCTTGGCTGTGCTCACCCCTTTGTCCTGGGAGGCAGCTGGGGGCAAGAGGGTAAGCCACAGACTTTTGTTGTTGAAAAGGCAGAAGTAAGCTGCTTAAGATGGAGCCACCGTGAGAGACATTCTTCAAACATTTACCTGGCTCATCTACTCTCCTTCTCTCCCTTCATTTTCTTCTTCCTTCTTTCCACCCACTCCCATGGATCATCCATCCACCTTTGTAACCATCTACCCAGTCCCTTGTCTATTCTACCTACTCATCATTAATCCATCTACTCATCCCCTTATCTTTAATCATCCATTTATTTCTTCCTTCCTTCCTTCCATCCATCCTTCCATCCACCTACCCACCCACCCATCCATCTATCCATCCATCCATCCACCCACCTATCCATCCAATCATCACCCTTCCTTCCATCCATCCATCCATCCATCCATCCATCCATCCATCCATCCATCCATCCAACCATCCATGCATCCATCCATCCATCCACCCTTTGACCCATCCATCCATCCATCCATCCACCCACCTATCCATCCAATCATCACCCTTCCTTCCATCCATCCATCCATGCATCCATACATCCATCCACCCTTTGACTCATCCATCCATCCACCCACCTATCCACCCAATCATCACCCTTCCTTCCATCCATCCATCCATCCAACCATCCATGCATGCATGCATCCATCCATTGACCCATCCATCCACCCACGTATCCATCTAATCATCACCCTTCCTTCCATCCATCCATCCATGCATCCATCCATCCACCCACCTATCTGTCCAATCATCACCCATCCATCCATCCATCCATCCATCCATCCATCCAACCATCCATCCATCCATCCATCCATCCATCCATCCATCCATTGACCCATCCATCCACCCACGTATCCATCTAATCATCACCCTTCCTTCCATCCATCCATGCATCCATCCATCCACCCACCTATCTGTCCAATCATCACCCATCCATCTATCCATCCATCCATCCATCCATTTATCCATCTAACCATCCATCCATCCATCCATCCAACCATCCACCCTTCCATATATCTATCCATTAAACCATCCACTCATCTACCCATTCACCCTTCCTTTGTCCACTCATCCATCCGCCCATTATCTCTCCATGTCCTCCCTGTCACTGATGGACCAATCCATGTACTCATTGCTGGGTCATAAAGTTAAGTGAATATTTCCTGACTGTGGAACTGAATGAAATGCCTTGGCACTCCCGTGACCATCCGTCTGGGTGGTCTTGAGATAAGAAGTGAGGCTGGAGTAGGGAGAAGGCAGAGGTCAGAGGGGCCTGAGGCCTGACGACTAAATTCAGTCAAAGGAGTTAGGACACTGGCCAAGCAGCCGAGGTGCTGGACTCTGAGGGCAGAGTGGGTCAGGGCAGGTCTTGGGGGCGGGGGGGGGGGATGGTGCTTTTCCAGTGGGATTGGGCGGGGAGTTCCCTCAAGTCACAGGGTCCCTGAAGAACACCAGCTATTACACTAAAAATAACCAAATATGTCATTTTGTGCTGTCAGATAGCATCTTTAGCAGATTCCTGGGCTGGCGAGTTGGATCAAGTGCCAAAGGTTTAAAAACATGGTTCAGGCAGGGGAGAGGGAGCTGGAGGTAGAATGTTCCAGAGGTACAGGCTTCTGTCCCTTCGACTGGGGAGCAGTTCCCACACCAGCTGGAAGAAGGAGCAGTTCTGGGTCAGATGCAGATACGGAAGTGGGGTCCGGGCAGTGGCCCCCAGGTGCAGACATGGAAGTTGGGTGTGGGCAGTGGCCCCAGGTGTAGAAATGGAAGTGGGGTGTGGCTCTCAGGTGCAGAGATGGAAGTGGGGTGTGGGCAGTGGCCCCCAGGTGCAGAACACCTGCTTGTCTGATGGCAGCGTGGCTCTGAGGGTGGGCTGGGAGGAGAGCTGAAAGGAGGCCCATGATTGTGCAGGGAGAGATGTTTACAGGGGAGCATGGGGGAGGAGTCGAGCTACCTGGAACCCTGGATGTAAAGAACAGAGGTTCCCTGCCAAGAGTGGGGTCTGAGTGGGGGTCTGGGCCTTTGGAGGGGGGAGGAAATCAGGAACAGCCACTGCAGAGCACAAGGGTGGCTCAGCTCAGGGTTTTCCAAGGGGTGTTCCAAATGGAACACCAGTTCAAAGGTTTTCCTTCATGCCAAGCAAGTTTGAGAAACATTAGCATGAAGAGTACAGAGCCCTGCTGAGGGTCATGGCTCTCTACAGAGGTGACCATGGTGGTCCCTAAACTTAGTTACCCAGGAAGAGTGTTGGTGTGGTGCTATAAGATAAGCACTGAACTGCTAACCTCAAGGTGGGTGGTTCAAACCCACCAGCCCTCCCCAGAAACCTACAGGGTCACTCACTATGAGTTGGAACTGACTCAAGGCACGACACCAATCACAAATGAGGCTGAATATCAGGAACATCAGCAAAGACAGGTGGGTTGGGGGCCCAGGTGAAGGCCGATGTCTTGTGGGAGGTGAGTTTTAACCAGTTTCAGAGGAGGAAGGAGCAAGGGGAGGGGCAGGCTCTGAGGAGGGCAACCTCTCCTGTCATATCCACACACACACACACACACACACACACACACACACACACACAGCCACCAGCAGAGCGAAAGTCCTTCTGAGAATCAGGGACAGGAAATGGGGTGTGGAGACCTCGCCATCACAAACACCCATCACACAGGCCCCAGGGAGAATGTCTCCTGAAAGAGCCTCCCGCCCCCATATCACTTACTTACTTTTCTGTCATTAAACTCCACGCTGTCCCCCTCATAGTCTCCCTGTAATGACAGAAGAAAGGAGACTTCTCATGAGCCGAGCAGCGTTGGCGGGGGGAGAGGGGGAGGGTTTATTGATTCCAGTTCACAGAGACCCCGTGTGTGCAGAGTAGAACTCCCTGTCAAAGCTAGCACCTTTCAGAAGCCTGCCTCCTAAGGCATCACTGGGTAGATTCAAACCACCAACCTTTTGGTTAGTAGTCAAGTACTTAGAAGTTTGTGCCACGAATGAGTTCTGCATAGAGTTTTTAAACCCCCAACTGCAAACTCATTGTGGTTGAATCAATTCTGACTCAATACAAGCCTGGAGGATAGAGTAGAGCTAGCCCAAGGGGTCTCTGAAGGAGCAGACAGTCACCTCTTTCTCCCAAGGATCCGCTGGTGGGACAGCAGCCCAGTGCTTAACCACCGTGCCACCAGGGCTCCCTTTGGTCACATGGTGGTGGCTGTGAGCCATTGAGTTAGTTTCAACTTATGTTGTTGTTGTTGTTGTTGTTAGGTGCCATCAAGTCGATACTGACCCATAGCGACCTTATGCACAGCAGAACGAAACACTGCCTGATCCTGGGTCAACCTCACTACTGTTGCCACGCTTGAGTCCATCGATGCTGCCATGTGGCCAATCCATCTCGCTGGGGGTCTTCCTCTTTTTCTCTGACCCTCCACCTTACCAAACATGATATCCACTTTAGCAAGCATGATGTCCTTCTCCAGGGACTGGTTCTTCCTGATGACATGTTCAAAGTATGAGAGAACAAAGTCTGGCCATCCTGGCTTCTAAGGAGCACTCTGGCTGCACTTTTTCCAAGACGGATTTGTTAGTTCTTCCGGCATCCCATGGCACTTTCAATATTCTCCTTCAACACCATAACTCAAATGCATTAGTTCTTCTATGGTCTTCTTTATTCACTGTCCAGCTTTCGCATGCATATGAGGTTATTGAAAATACCATGGCTTAGGTCAGGCACACCTTAGTCCTGAAGCTGACATCTTTGCTTTTCAACACTTTAAAAAAGTTCCTATGCAGTAGAATTGCCCAATGCAATACATCATTTGATTTCTTGACTGCTGTTTCCATGAGTGTTGGTAGTAGATCCAAGCAAAATGAAATACTTTTTCCATTTATCATGATGCTATTTGAGGATTTTTGTTTTCTTTACACTGAGGTGCAACTCATACTGAAGGCTTTGGTCTTTAATTTAATCAGCAAGTATTTTAAGCTCAGCAGCAGCTACAACAATCTTTGCAGAAACATATAATCAGATTGTTTTCCCACGGAAATGCTGGGTGGGGTCCAACCCCCATCTTCCAGAAAGCACGGTTTGTATCATCTGCATATTGCAGGTTGTTAATGAGTCTTCCTCCAGTCCTGATGCTACATTTTTCTTTTTCCCAACATTTGGGATTCCAGAGGTCGGTTAGCCAGTGACCTCAGGGGGAGTAGATACCAAGCAGGAAGGAAGCCAAAAAGCTGCCAAGCTGCCAACACAAATGCCAGGTCCTTTCTCACTGCTAACCCACTAATTAAAGGTGAGATCACATGACTCTTACTGAATGCATCAGTCTATCAGGTTGTGGTCTGGCTGGCAACAGCACCTAATACCATGCTTGGAAGACTTTCTTGCTTAATGGATGGGTGGACAGATGAGCGAGTAGATGGATAGATGAGCGAGTAGATGGATGGATGAGTAGATGGACGGATGAGCGAGTAGATGGACGGATGAGCGAGTAGATGGATGGATGAGCGAGTAGATGGATGTATGAATGAGTAGATGGATGGAGTAGCGAGTAGATGGACGGAGTAGCGAGTAGATGGACGGATGAGCGAGTAAGATGGACGGATGAACGAGTAGATGGATGGATGAGCGAGTAGATGGATGGATGAATGAGTAGATGGATGGATGAATGAGTATATGGATGGATGAACGAGTGGATGGATGAGCGAGTAGATGGATGAACGAGTAGATGGACGGATGAATGAGTAGATGGACGGATGAGCGAGTAGATGGATGGATGAATGAGTAGATGGATGGATGAATGAGTATATGGATGGATGAACGAGTAGATGGATGAATGAGTAGATGGATGGATGAACGAGTAGATGGATGGATGAATGAGTATACAGATGGATGAACGAGTATATGGATGGATGAGTGAGTAGATGGATGGATGAATGAGTAGATGGATGGATGAATGAGTATATGGGTGGATGAACGAGTAGATGGATGGATGAGTGAGTAGATGGATGGATGAGTGAGTAGATGCATGGATGAGTGAGTATATGGATGGATGAGTGAGTATATGGATGGATGAATGAGTAGATGGATGGATGAATGAGTATATGGATGGATGAATGAGTATATGGATGGATGAACGAGTAGATGGATGGATGAGTGAGTAGATGGATGGATGAGTGAGTAGATGGATGGATGAATGAGAAGATAAAAGA